TGGGGTGGGGAAGAGGAGGTGGTTATTCACAATTGTTTGAATTAATTCATGTATGAAAATTATAATTTTAACTTTTGTTTGTTTACCACTTGTATTAAAACAAAAAAACCCCAACAACTTCATGCTGCCAAATGTTGCCATAATCACAAGTAGTATTTGACCTGTTCAGTCTCCCTTAAAGCTTCTCTTTCTGTTGAACTATCCCTTATGTCTGAATAGGGATGCAAGTTTGGACTTGAAATCATCTTTATGTGACTGGTTTTTTGTTTTATTTCATCCTGATTTCATGTAATGCTTTGTGTTAGAATACAGAGTTACTCAATGGCTCCTTTTGGATTTAATTTTTGTTCAGCAGTATGATGTGGTACAAAAGATCAAGTTATTACAGAAGTAATAATTTGTACTGCATTCTGAATACACTATATTTTTTTGTATTTTATTGCTATTGGTATCTGAATGGAAATGTAGTTTATCATGAGTGTTACTCCTTCCTCTGACTTATCAAAGATGTTGCAATTAAAGTAACTGTTAAAAGGTACACTGATCAGACAGTACTTGGAATACAGAATCTGGGTGATTATATAAATTGTTTACAGACAAGTACTAAATATTTAACTCTTAGGAATTATCCAAATGTGGGAGAACTGAATATCAACCCTGGAAGGCTTGTGGGTTGTTACCTCTGATGTGTTTGTTATGCTCCTCTGTTTACTAGATGGTCCAGTAAGTTGTACTCTTCATTTAGCAAATAAGAAAACGTGGGCCTTGAGTCCATGGTAAGTTTAAATACATCTTGACTGGGAGGAACTACACTTCTTAACCAACTAATTTATATCCCATTTTTATGGTTTGGTTATAGGTATTACTTTGTTAAACTTTTCTTGCCCCATCAACTAAAATACTGTTTCTGCTATAAAATGTGGGTATGGTTGCAAATAGTTAACAGGATCACTATTGCAGTATACTTCAATTTCATTTAAACCATGTAATGTGTGTACAGTGGTTTGAAAAATATAAAAATATTCAGTACATTACAACTTGCTTCATGTGGATACCTGACCTGCGAGCCTTTGAACTTTGTGTGAGTATGAGCATAATCTTCATTAGTTTTCATCTGTTAGCCTCACAAAACTCTTAACTCGCCTGGGAACAGTAACTGTCTGAGCAAGTAAATTGAGCCCACTCCTACATGCACTTATAGACATGCTTAGTTTTACTCGAAGTATAGTTTCCTTGAAGTATTTGGATCTAGGAGTGAGTAGGCTTAATAATAGCCTACACACGTGGCTACAAGATCAGGACCAAGGGTGGTTCATTTTCCTAATTGCTAGAGAGAGAGTGTATCTGTGTGCATGAGAGTGAGGGTTAGTAAACTTCACATTTATTTTGCAAAGATGGTTAATCCATTTCTGTTTTTGAAGCAAAGTGCTTTACCAAGGATTAGTATCCAGACTGCTGAGTCCTGTTTTACTCGTGTGTTTTAACTTGCGGGTTTATCATGGATGACATACTGAAAACCTGAACACTAATTATTCTGGACACACAGAAATCAGATTGGAATGAAGAGAGAGATGCCAAAAAGGTAACTTCACATGGCACTTGAAGCATAGTTTTCTAGTGATACTTCATTCATGCGCGTTATTAAAGGTTAATATGTCTGTGACAGAGTCTGAATTTTGATTGGTCAGTAGTTGACATCATCACCTTTATGGTTTTACTCTGGCATGCCAGTTGAGGTCTAAGCCTTGTCTACTACAACCAACCAAAGCATCATGTTTTCCAGCTAGATAATTCATTAAACTTGCTGTGCATTGACATATGCTGTAAATCTTATATTTTATTAATAAAAAGTTTATGCATAGAATAAACTTTACTTTTGTCAGGTTGCTTTTTATTTTCCACTTTCTCCAGTTCCCATATTTCATAAGTTGTTGGGGTTTTTTTTCTGGTTACTAGTTTGTTTTCCAGAAGCAGAAGTAAGTAGCTCATGGCTTCACTAACTCCTGTATTGCTGTATCTGGACTGACGTCTAGAGATCCCGGAGGGTTTTCACACAGGTTTTGTCCTTAAGCATAGAAGAGGAGGACAATAGTAGTGGACTAAACCTGCTCTTCTACAACCTGCTCCCACCCTTTGAGTCTATGATATGGCTTAAGTTACCAACTCACATCATTTTAAAGTAAAGGCATGGTTTAAAATTGGTTTAGAGGAATGGTGCAAACCCCTGAGCTGAAATACTTCATGCAGTTCAACCTAGTTTATATCAGATCATTTTACCATTGAGAGATTGTTTAAGCAAATGTAAAATAGTTTTTATTCCCCTTTTTGGGTTTAGCTGTATTACTTGTCAGACTGCTGGAACTTTGCATGTATAGAGAGGGTCCGTAGCAAAACTCCCATTGACTTCAATGATCTCAAGTCCCCATTTCTTTGGGGAGGGGGCTGCTGTGTTCATCTAGTCATGCCAAATACACAAATGAGGGGCCCTCTTCCTCTTTTTATGCAGTTGCTGAATAAGGTTTTCAACTTCTCATTTAGTCTTTGTATCTGTTACAGAGGAACATTTCCTACTCTTCTGTCTCCAGCCTCAGAGTGCCAGGGCCAGGTGACGCGATATGGTGGGAGGAAGCTTTTCTCCTTGGGGAAAAGGCTACTGGTAGTCTGAAAAGGAAGTTTCTGAGTTGTCACGGAGTATTACGGAATACTTGTAGGGGCATAAGGCTTAATATTTTGCAATATTTTATTACTGGTGTAAGACGTTTTTAACTATGTTGGGCTGTTGTTATAATTGGAGTCTTACATCATAAGGTATGATTAGCTAGGAATAGTCACTTCCCGTGGGCTGGTGTAACTGATGTCTTTAGCCTGATGATGACTAAGGGTGCACAGAAGGCATGTTCCAGCTCAGTTCCAAAACCACCCTCTGCTTAAGTGTTTACTGAGCAATAGGAGACCTATCTATTGGCCCTTAGGCATGTGGTTTGCTTCAGTGGATCATGGGAGCATTTTTTGTATTAAGTGGTAGGAAATGATTGTACCATAGTTAAGACATCCATATGGCACCACTGGCCTCTTGGACTTCTTTGTGTATATTTGCTAACAGAGAATAACTTTTTATTTAGCCTGGTATTCAAATTTTTAGGTTGATAAAAGACTGGAATCGTTGGAAAATAGCAGGAGCAGCAAAGGATAAAACTAAATGCTTCATAGCTGTCATAATACAGGTCAGAGACCTAGTCATAACTACCCGTGGTCTGGTTCATTCTAATATAACATGTCTCTTCACTCTTCCAACCCAAAGTCTAACCATTTCTTTTGAGTTCCGACAGTATTTGAACCATTTGGAAAATTCAGTCTTCACAAGTCCTCTAAAAGAACTGTTTGACAAACTTTTTTGGTGCAATACTTGTTATTCCAGTATCACCCAATGTGACACTAAAAAATGCTGCTTAGACTGGTGAGGGATCAAGGGTATGGACAACTGTTAGGTTTACTCCAATAGGGGGTACTAGGCAAATGCTAGTTTCTTGAAAGTAGCTATTTGTTTCAGTTGCCAGCTCACCAAAGTCTATTTGGTCTAGTATAGCTGCCTGCAGATGTCAAGGAGTATTTTCACTTTTCCATCTTTCAGTTCAGCTTAACCACAAAGAAAATTGAACCAAGGCTCTAGGACAAAAACATTTGTAGATAATCTAGCACTAGAGCCCTGACCCGGGGTTGCACATATCACTTGAAGCTATAACACAAATAACTAAGCCGTTTTGTTTGTACACGCTGTAATCTACTGCAAGACAAGTGGAGAGGATGGAGGAACGTAACTTGATCTCTGACGCATCCATAGCCATGGCATGGCTGATTCTAGGGCATCAAGTGAAATTTGTGAGGTTTTGATCTCTGTTGTAAGCAAAAAACCCCAACAACCTCCTCCCCCCCCCCCCCCCAAATAGAATTATTGCTGTTTTTGAGAGCTGTTAGTTTATCCTTGTTGGATACTTGGATACATGCCATAGACTGCTTAAGAGTTCTTAGAACAAACCACGGGTACAAACTGTAGTGAGATCAATTCAGGTTGTGTTTGTTTGTTTTTGGTTGGGTAGACCAAATAAGTGTCAAGCACAGTGCACATGTTCTGTACCAGATGGCTTGCACTGATGTTCATGACAAAAATTTCTCTCCTGCTGGTGTGATATCTTCTGGTCCTCCCATCCTGGAGGCCAGGCCATTAGCAGTGATACCTGGAACAACTTACTCTTAAAACAGTTCGTTTCATCCAAGAACACAAATTACTTTACGAAGGCCATGAAATGTCCCAAGAGCCTTGGGTTGCAGGTAAATGTATTAGAAGAAGCTTCTCTAGTGCTTGGAACATGGGGCTAGAAGTTCTACATAATATTCCTATTTTAGCCACTGACTTGCTCTAATGGTAGCTAATTGATTTTTGACTCATTTATTTTAATATTCCCATCTTACTGATGATACCTTTTTGACAGAAATTTAAAATGAGGGGATTTTGGGATGATGCTACAAACATGCAAAGGATTTACATAGCTCACAGTATGCTAGGTTTCATATGTTAATTTTGCAATATGGGTTTATTGTTTGGATTCCAGTTCTTAGAAAGCAGCAAGCAGCATTTAACCTGTTGTGAATCAGATTTATCAGCTTGACATTGTTTTGACCCATTAAAACTATCATGGAT